CCCCGAGTTGGCTATCTCGCTAGAGCCTTCACTTGTCTCCCTATAGCTCTGATGGTTAAAAGCCTCTCTGGTTTGTCAGAGTTTAATATGCACCCTACATAATTATGCAGGATTCACTGTGCTATCAAACTGCAATTCAAATTAGTTCAGGATTAAAGGCACCGAACAGTACTGCTTCCTTAATTGCATTGTACTGTGCTGATCACATTCAAATACCCATTACTCATTCCCTCTGTGGAGCAATAAGTCAGGGGGATTAATATTCAGGCAGGTGACAGGGCCAAGCCATTAAAAGGCAGTTATGCAGAAAGCATGGCTGGTTTTATTCACGTTAATGAAATCAGTGAAATGAAACTGTAATAGATTTATCAAAGCTCGGATGGATTTGCTGTAAATCAGTTTGATTCAGGCAATCAAACTGGACAATAGAGATAGTTTTCAGCTCTAGCAAGGGATGTCAGGCGGCAGCATGTGAGAAAAGCTGATATTCTTCATGTAGGGATGCTGCGAACACCCAAATGGAGAGGGCCTATTCCCAACCCACGGCGGCTAATTTTTTTGCCTTTTGAACTCAGTGCCAATGACTGATAAAACACCCACATATCAACTTAATACAGAACTTACATGGTTTTTATTTCTCATTTTTAAGTTGGTCGGAGCAATCACTCTTTCCGATGGTTTGAAGAGGAGCAGGACGAAAAAAGTTATGTGGGCACAATGCAATGGCAGGTAGTTTCCCTACTTGTTTCCTATTCCTATGGAGATGGTAGCCATGGTTCTGATGCCTCTTAACAGCTACTTCGAACACAGCATTTCCCCCCCCTCCTAATACATGTTTACAAATATGAATGCATTTCAACAGCCCGTAAACAAGAAAATATCATTTTTTACTTTTGTTGCTTTGGACCAGACTATTTGTTTCCATTAGAGGGCAGTATAAGAGCAGAAACCAAGGAGAGAAGAAGAAGAGAAAGGGGGGGAAAGATTACCCTGTAGACAATACAATACCAAATGTACATTTTTCTTAGGTAAACTTTTTAGATTCTGTTAACATTGACTAAGAGCAAGAGAATGGGAAAAAAGGTTAAAGGACAGAGAGGAGGAAGGAGGGGAAGACAAAGAGTGCACATTTTGGAAATTAATGATGCAAGATTTTGATACCACTGTACAAAATGCTAGAGATATACAAAATGAAGGGGGGGGGGGGGAAGAGAAGGAAAAACTAGCATTTGCCTTCTGCCTGGAGATTTTTTTTCCTAACACAGAGATAAAGCTGTGTTATTCTTTCTGCCCACCTTTCCTCTCAACCTCTTCATGCTTACTATAGGGTTAAGACTTGAATCCTACCTCTTTAGGATTGAAAGCCTCTTGGGTGTTTTATGTGGTGTGTTTTGAATATCTAAATATAGATAAAGAGGGGAAAAATCTACAAAGCCCTACCAGAGGTAAATTATCTATGAAATCCTACAAAAACAACAGCAAACAAACAAACAAACAAGAAAACCAGAACATCTTGGGTGTTGCTCCAAAAACCACACTCTTAATCGGTCTGAATATTATTTATTTGACACAAATTTTCATCAACCAAAGACTGTTTTAATGATCCAAAACAGAAATAAATGTTCTACTCTATTACTACCCTATATGGAATAAATCAATATTAAAGCTAATTAACCCTTTTCAAAGGCATTTGTCCCAGGTTTTTATTTAATGGTTCAGTGCAGCTTGAAGTACTGATATAGCTGGATGAGCTCCATTTAAAAAATTGTTTTCAAAATTGGCCATTTAACAGCTTAGTGCAATGAATATTTTTTATCAAGAGGGGAAAAAAACCTTGTCCGGTTTGACAGGGTAGGCATCTTTTACAGGATACAATCATCTCCTCAAAGAGGATTAGTGAAAATTAGCCATTCGGGTACAACTAGTACACAAGAAAGTAAGCAATTTTGCTATATATTTTATGAGATTTCGGTTTTTGTAGTCACAACCGACAACCTGAAAAGAATTATTCAACATTTTGCATTGTGGTATACTGTATGCCATGGTCTGTGGAAAACCCAACAGCAATACACAGCAATAACGGCATTTTGAAGAATTAAAATCTGCACATATCTTGTGAATGATAAACAACTGAAAAGAGTTAAGATGTATATAAAACAGAAAATTGTCTTTTGCAATGTCTGCTAATAGTACACAAGGAAAATAATCTTAATGCTTCACACACATAAAAATTGGATTTGTATCAGAATTAGATGAACACATCACAACATTAAAATATTTAGAATGCACTATGTCATACTCTTAGATTTTATGGTGGTAGTAGGGGAAATAAGTTATTTACCAAGCTTCTCTCATCACGACCAGTATTCTCTTTTCCAAGCAGGTCACAGAACACATTTTTAAAAGCGGTAATTTATTAAAACATGGTACACCATAATTTTGCCATTTTTCTGCAATAAGGATGGCAAATGATTCATGGGAAAAATGAAATATATTTCCCTGTCACTTCAATAGATCTGAGATTTACAGCTTCTAGACTCGGACAGGGAAAACCCAGCATGCATAAAAATGAATTGCAAATCAGTTAATTGTAGAGATGCAAAACTAAAAGCATCGCAGTTCAATAAAATAAATTCCCCAGAACAGATTAGTGGGGGGCAAGCGTCCATTTATGTCCAGAGGTTGTGAATTAGGAGGGGGGGGGGGGGAATCAAGGCATTCTTGCTTTTTAAAAAGTGCTTCCAATCAATGTATACATTGATTCAGTTCCTTTCAGTTTCTTTTAGTTTGAACGCTTGAATTAATGACATTTAACTCAAGACAAGCAGAGGAAGGGGGTGGGGAGAGTTGGTAAAATAGGATCTCACGTCCAGTTCATATAGCTCAGCAATAGACAGTCAAACCTGGACATTTCTTTTCCTATCCACGGCCTTCCAGGGTGCCTTTTTAAAAAAACAGATTGCAGCTTGTGATTTCATTGTTATCAAGGCTGCGATGGAGCCAAGAAAACATACCCTACAATGCATGCAGCACTAAATCATGTCAAGAACAGACGTCCTTCAGATGGTGCAGCTGTTGAACATGCGATAATCCAAGAAACTGTGCCCACTTTAAAAAAAGGAACAAAAAACTTTGAAGAAACAGGCTTTAACTGTAAGTTTGAATTAACACTCAGGGAGGGCCAATTTCAGGCTCCAATTGTGTGTATTTTCTCTTCTGAGTTTCTAAAAAGGGAACAGATTCTATCTCTTTCTTTGCTCTTCCATACAAATCCAGCTCAATCTAATGCATAATTATGTCTTCAGAGGCAATAAAATAAAATAAATCTCCAGGTAAATTAGAGCAGGCACAGCGTCGTTTAGCTCCACTTAATGTGGAATTAGCCACTGACAGTCTATGGAAAGCAGGGAGACGCTAGCAGAGAGGGAGGCAAGACCTGGAATTCTCCTAAATTAGTTGCGTCTCGCGCAGATTGAGTGAAGTATTGATTCTGGACGGACGCCTGCTGCCTTCTGATCATCACACCTGTGCAAATATTGTACAGCTTGAATGCTCTTGTGCCTCTGTATATGTTTCATACCTCCAGTGGATAATTGAGGCGAGGATGCGGAGCGGGGGAGGTAAGGCTCAAAGGCAAGGTACAGGCAAACTTAACAAGCCCTTCCTTTGCAAGGGGCGAGGAAAAGGAACACATTTAGTGGCAAAACGCACCTCGCTGAAGATGCTCTGTAATCTCCTCTAATCAAAGGCAATCAGTTCAAATTTGATGGCAGAATTCACTCAAAGGACTGCAGTTGAACTCCGAGCCCTGCTTTGATATTTCTGGCTCAAATGTGTGTGGCTCCTTACCTCACATGTTTTGAAAATCAAGTCTTGGGCAGCGGTCCCCCTGCATGCCACACGCTCTCTCACACGCCCAAACAGAGATTTATTTTATTGAGTTGATCCTGAAATCAGGACTGCATATCTATCTGTATGAAGAAGAGAGGGGTTGCTAGCAGTCATTGGAAGGGAAGCATGGATTTATTTTTATCCACTGGGCCCTTGGTATCCACTAGGGTTTAGTTCCAGGGCTCCCTACAGATTCCAAAATCCCTGGATACTCAAGTCCCATTGTATACAATGGCATAGTAAAATGTTCTCTCACACATCAAAAATGGCAAAACCAGGCTTTGCTTTAAAAATACTTCCAAACGGTAGCTGGTAGAATCTTAGATGTAGAATTCATGAATACAGAGTGCCAACTATACTTCTTAACATACTAACTGATACAGAAACATGTTTTAGGGCACACTACTGTTTACACAATGATGGTTTAACCAAGTTGAAATTATATTTAAGAGGCTTCAGTTCTAAGCTGCCTAGAATGTCCCAACCACCATTTCCAAACTATTTACACACACATAAACTCCTAATACTAAAAAACAAAAATAAAAATACAATCATATGTAAGGTAGGGAACTACAGGTGAATATGAGCACTATAAAGTTTGCATTAGAAAACTTGTAAACAGCTTTACTAATTTCCTGTTGAGAAAAAATGTATAGGTATTCCTCCACTGTCAGAACATTTATCAGCACTTGGCAATTTGGGACCAGCCTGATATGCAAGATGATCAAAAAGGATTAGATAATCTTTCCTATTAATTCAATTGATTTTAGTCATGATAAAGTTAATCTGTGTGATAACTTGGCACCCAAGGAGAGTGGGTTGAATTAAAAATAAAAATAATGACATTTGATGGTTATTGCCATTTGTTTCATACCACAATGAATAAGTGGAGGGAAAGGAATGAAAAAATGCTGAAGCAACAATAATATATTTCAACGAAAACATTTGTCATTAACTCTTATGGCAAGTTTTGCTGCACTTTAACTCGTCATTTGCCACTCAACATATCGAGTTAAGGCCAGTAATTAATACTATCTCTTAAAACTAAAGTTCAAGATATCTGTTTTATACTTTCCCACTGGAAAACAGGAGAGATAGGGGAAGAATAGTTCAAGGATAATCAACTTTATTCCAGTAACTGCCAGTAACATCAAAATGCCAGTGAGTGGACCATTTTAATCAGTTTTATTGATTCATGCTTTCAGTTCTTATTCAGTTAAAAACAAGGCACATTAAATACATCCTCTTATTGCTCTATAAATGCATGCAGCTCATTCTGTATATCAAAAGTAATAAATAATGGCAATAAAACACCAAGACAGTTATAAAAATGACAATCTGGCCTCAAACACAGTATTTAACAGTCCAATCCTGAACAATACCCAACACGTTACGTAAAAGTGCCGGATGGAAAAACATGCGGCATGTATACATACCAAAAAGCCCCTTGTTGTCAAATTTCTTTCATTTTAAAACACAGCAATACAGTAGCATTCCACCAATTAACACACTGTAAAACAATCCTGCGAGGACTTTGCATTTACCATTCATTATATGACAATCTTCCAAAGAGATACAAAAAAGGAGGGGGGTTAAGGTGGCATTTAATCAACTAATTCTGAGTCTTTAATTTTACTGAATCAAGCAGGTGTAGGATGATGCACACAACTTCTTTCACTTCCCCCTACAAAACAGAGATGTGTGTTTTATTCTGCTATAGGAGAAGAATGCAAGGGGAAATGGCACAGAAAGATCAAACCCCCAATGAAGAGCATGCATCTAAATTACAAAAGAAAAGCCAAACGTACATTCACTTTCACAATATGACTGCACCTGTTTAACCAGAAGGAAAAAAAAGAGAGAAACCAGCAAGAACAAAGCTAGCAAGAGGCACAACTAGACATCACTGTTATCATGGAGAAGGAGCCTATTTAGAAAGACATACTAAGCAAAAGCATGGCTTGCTCTTCAACAGTTACTACCATCCCCTGCCAGGTTAAACTTACTTGTCAAAGAAATGGGTGCATTGATGGGCACATGGATGAGGGACATACACTTCTCAATCACTGGCATTATAAGGGGGAGGGTGATTTTAAAATGCCACTTTGTTTAAAGTTAAATAAAATCATTGGCACATTCTTAGGGAATAGTTATAACAAACACTCATTTCTTAAACACCTCAAATATACGAGAAAGATAGTTTTTGATTACTCCCCTCTGAGCTGATTTTCCTGTTCTTAATGCAAAGAGATGAAACCCGATATGTACAAAGAGTCCATTATGTCTTGGCAGCACCAAACAATCATTTGCGCAGGGGCAGAAGCAAGAGAACTCTGTTCTCCCTCCCCATTTCCACTGTCAATTTGTAAAAAATATATATTTGAAGCATACTGATTTTATCAAAAACAAATAAGGAAAAAGATCCACTCTGGATTGCATAAGATCCCCCCCACCCCCGAAAATACTGCTGTATTTTTTTTTCTTATCAGAACCCAGCTCCATATACTCAAACTTGGACAAAATTTAAAAATGTCATTTATAGATGCAAATGCCTCCCTCTGAACTTAGCTATAGGGTTGCTTTTACATTCCAGTGTCTATTTCTAGCAATAGCATGCCTCTATGCCTTTCACATTTGCATAGAGTGGTTTTTTTTTTTAAAAAAGAGTACAAGTTGAAAAGCACTGTTTGTAAAATATTAGCACAGTGTAACAATTGATCAGACAAAAATATTTGACCAAAACCAAAATCCCCAGGCTATACCCAATTGTTTGTCCCAACTTGATTAGACCCACCGAATCAATGTTATTTACATAAGCATTGACATTCATTCCAGCAATTAATTCAGTGGGCCTACTCTAATCAGACTGGCAACTGTATTTAAGGTCCTTGCAGAAGTGACACTTTTAGACCAATTCCCACATTTCGCTTTGAGACATGTTCTTCTTTGTGTCACTCAGCAATCTAAACAACAATGTAGGAAAGGATTTCAGCCTAAAATTTCCAAGACTGCAAATCTTATCCATATGAAAACTTGCAGGAACATTACCTTGAACAAAATATGAACTTGAGTAAACTGATAGAAATGTTCAAGACAAAAATTCTACCGGTAATGTTTTTTCCCTTTATTTTATATGTAATTTTATTTATATGCTGCCTTTCTCCTGGAGTGGGATCAAAGATGGCTCACAGATGCCTTTGCTTTATGTTAGGCAAGAAACAGAGTCCCAAATGTCCTAAAGTTATCCACCTTAATTGTTTTGTGCGTCTAGTACAGATGAACAAACAGATCAGTCAATTTGCATGCATGTGTTAAATCCTCTACAAAAATAAAGTTAACAGTAAAGGGAAAACACCTAACTACATTTTTCCAGGGTAGAATAATAGGCACATGTTTGTTTCAAGATATTCTTATGATGTGCTTCTAATCCGATGCTGCCTCAGTGTGCTTTTCAGAAATTAATTCAACTCAGCTGGTGTACATAACATAGTTATTAAAATTTTAGTAGTTTCAATGAGACTTAACTACCTGTATGTCCAAGGTTGGTAAAACTAAGTCTAGCAGCATTTAAATATTCCTTGGCAGGACTTTCATTTTGGTTTTGGGTAATATTCTACCCAAAAAAAGAAATTGCTAGATAGAAGTACTCTTATTCTTTCTGATGGTAAATCACTCGTTTGACATGCACGTTTTGTAGATTAAAAGTATTATTAACCCCAACAAGGTTCTAGGAAAAGGGTGAATATTTATCACAAGACACTTCCAAGAAGATGGCACACAAAGCATGCTGGCACCTTCTATTTTCGTCAGTTCAAGTTTGCAAGCTGTGAAAAGGAGGGTGGGGACCCCTTTGTGAGACACAGAAGATGAATCGTTCTCACTGCTGTCCGGACATCAGAGTGAAATTAGCCCAGAAAAAGATATCTCAGCTCCCTCTCTTCCTTACTTCAAATACTTGTCCATCATTGATTCTGTGCAAAGCAGACACAATATGCGCCCATTGAGTAGGCCACAAGTCAGAGCAGCAGGGCTTTTACAGTAAACATGAAGGAAGAGAGAACTGCAGCGACGTGGTTTTCTGCACAGTTGCTCAGCGTAAGACAGGTTTGAGTAGAAGAAGCAGCGACATCTGAAAGCACTGGAATGTTTTTACAGCAACGAGAGATGCAGCTACACGGGACACCATTCTGTCGCTCTAAGCTCCCAAAACTCACAGTCCACCTCCACTCCGATCCACTGAAATCACTTCACGCCGAGAAATGTTCTCTTCCGCGGCTTTCATAAGTACTGCTAGCCGGCTTCCAGAAATAGATCCTTTCTGAATAGCGGTCATGAGCTAAGGAGACAAGATCGAAGGGACTTTGATATTACTTTTGTTTATTCTCATACATAAAATGCATACAAACCTATTCACATGCATATAGCAATATTTGGCTTGAAAGGGTAAAATGAATTTGCACTCAAATACCTTCTCAGTGGTTACTCCTTGACTCTGGAACTCCCTTTCCAAAGAGGTTAAGCTTGCTATACTTTCACAGACAGGCAAAAGCCTTTGTACTTCAGCTGGCTTTGGGAAACTGACTGATCAATGAGCTAGATGTTCTTCTTTAATGGTTTATGTTTTTAAAAAGTTTTGGTTATTATGAAATGTTTTTGCGTTTTTTAAATTTTGTAAGTTCTGACTTTTTGCCTATGTTTGTTTTAACTGTTATAAGCTGCCTTGAGTCCTAAACTTTTTCTTTTTCATGTCAGAAGCAACTTGAGAAACTGCAAGTCGCTTCTGGTGTGATAGAATTGGCAATCTGCAAGGACATTGCCCAGAGGTCGCCTGGATGTTTTTTGTTTTTTGAATGTTTTACCATCCTTGTGAGAGGCTTCTCTCATGTCTCCGCATGGGGACCTGGAGCTGACAGAGGGAGCTCATCCACACTCTCCCCAGATTTGAACCTGCGACCTGTCGGTCTACAGTCCTGCCGGCACAAGGGTTGTTCTGATTTTTTTTTTCGTGTCAGGAGTGACTTGAGAATCTGCAAGTCACTTCTGGTGTGAGAGAATTGGCTATCTGCAAGGACATTGCCCAGGGGGCGCACAGATGTTTTACCATCCTGTGGTAGGCGTCTCTCACGTCCTTGCACGAGAAGCTGGAGCTGCCATATGGGAGCTCAGTCTGCTCCCCGGATTTGAACTGCCGACCTTTCGGTCAGCAGTCCTGCAGGCACAAGGGTTTAACTCATTGGACCACTGGGGGCTCCATGATGATGATGGGCCAATTAAAGCAAGGCTTGTGTGGAACCTGGGATCTGCAAAGATTGTGGAGTCCAAAATCCTATCAGCCCCCACCACCATAGACAAAGGAGAAGAACTCTGGGAATTGCAGCCTACGAATTTCTGGAAGATCACAAGTTCTACATCACTCCCCTAGCTCATCTTTCCTTTATGGGGCACAGGTTTTTAAATATGCGTCACTCTTAAGTTTCTAAAAACTTGCATTGAATCTTTCTCAAATGTCTCCAGTATTCTCACAGGATATCTGCACTTGCCTATTAGTAATTTGACATGACATGGGGGTTCACTCATCATTTTTCAAGTGAGAAAGTACCAGAAATCTATAGAACAACCAGGAAACCCTGCTTTTCTTGCCCTATATATCCATTTCACGCTGGGGTTGAGTCACGTTATATCAGCATGACAGCAAACGCTACAAGCCACATTATTATGTTACTTTTCTGAGTTGTTTCTTAAGGGCTGAAGTAGAGATGAGTGAACAATTTGCAATGCATTATTTAGCCTCCTTTACTGTTTGTGAGCAATCAGGAATCCCTCCAGGACACATATATACATAGGTTTTATTTGATTACTCCTGACTTCAAAGTTAATTCATTGGCTTGCCAGAGAAACCATGGTCAAGTTTTTATTGGGAGCCTTCTGGCTACTTGTGATAGGCCAGGACATTCAAGCAAGTGCATCTGCTTTGTCTGAAAGACTAGATCGACACAAACAGATGCATTTATTTCTTTAGCACTATTATGTAGATGCCACTTTAAAAGAATGACACTATCTATCTCTACCCTACAGGCTTACAATCCAGAAGTCAGGCACAAGGGCAGAAACAGGAAGACCAGTTTAAGTAGCTGTTCAACCAGTTGTGTAGCTCCATCAGATGTATTCAAGAAAACATTGCTTAGATTTAATCGAAAGCCCTACCTGAAAAAACACATTATGAAAAAATAAAAATGCTATTCTTTTAATTAGCCAGTCTATGATAATACTAAACTTTACCCAGGGCTTCAGTGAGGACAAATTGGTTTGGAGGGTCATTGGTTTGGAGGGTTTCTCAACCAAAATATTTCTTACAAGTTGGCGAGATAGGTGCACAAGTAAACTCCCAGTGTGCATTTTGAAATGTGAGCGCAAACTCATCTGATTCAGCTCAAATAATTCAATATGAACATTTTCCGGTGAGAGATTTACTGTATTGATTTCAAATAGTGAGAGGCAAGCAGGTATGGGATAATTTCAATAAAATGGATTTTATACTTAAATCAGTGTGGCTTCTGCGGCATCTAACTCAGGATACCAGCCACTCCAATTCCTACACTGTCCCTATACTATCTGACCTCCTTGTCACCACACATACAACAGTCATCTGTTGTTTTGTGTTCTTTTTATTTAATGGAGAGGGAGTGCATACATTTTTCTGAATCCTAGCTTCAAAGCTATTGGATTTCTCCAGTAACATCTAAAGCAGTGGTTCTCAATCTGTGGGTCCCCAGGTGTTTTGGCTTACAACTCCCAGAAATCCCAGCCAGTTTACAGCTGTTAGAATTTCTGAGGGTTGAAGGCCAAAACATCTGAGGACCTACAGGTTGAGAACCAATGATCTGCAGAAATGTCTCTATTCCACAGCTTCCATTAAAATGATGTTTAGTGTGAACCAGGAAGTCACCTAACCAGACAATGTGATCTTGTCTTTCCCCTTTCCTGTGACTTGATCCTATTAACCTCACACCACAAAACCAACCCTTCAAGGATAGGATATTTAGAGTCCTATCCTTGAAGGGTTGGTTTTGTGGTGTGAGGTTAATAGGATTATTTAAAGAAGGAACCAGGTAGACATCTGTGAGAAGCAAACTTTCATTGCTCCATCTGATATTCACCTCACGTTAAAGAGGAATGACCTAAAATTGCCTAATCAAGTCACTTCCAGTTACTGACCAGTAAATTTGAGTTCCAGTCTTTCTATAGTTTTTCTGTTTCCTACAAATATTATGAAAAATTCTATTGCCACTGAGGATCTGGCATGTAGTTAGTGCTAGATTTGGCTTCAGTGAATTATTCCAGGAATTTAGGTCCACCAGTTGACCATTTCTGGACTTCTCCTTATTTCAGTCTTGAATAACACACACAACTGATAAGACAAGCTGATTTAATTATTTTGACCAGCTTAAGACCTGGACCACATTTCAAGGATGTTAAGAGAAGTTCTGCAAAAGAGGCTTGGGTTTCCACACAGGTATAATGGAAAAACTAGAAATTCCTCATGTTCAGGTTAACGAATTAGGCCCCTTTTACATTGTCATGTAAAATCCAGATGATCTGTTTTGGACTGTATTATATGGCAATGTAGAATCATATAATCCAGTTCAAAGCAGATAATGTGGATTATCTGCTTTGATAATCTGGATTATAGGGCAGTGTAAAAGAGACCTTTCTCAATGATCTTTTTTCTTTCTACTGCTTAAACTCCGACCCTTTTGTGTTGTATTGTTTGGCATGCAAGTCTGACAAGATCTGTTTTATAACTTTGGTGGCTGAGGATGGGGTAAAATTGCATTTTAAAACAACAAGTCATATTATATATGATGCATAAGAAGAACATGGTGATTTCTAAAAGAGAAACAGTAGGATAAACTGTTTCAACTTCTGACATGACAGCACATTCAAACAAGCCAAAAAGCAATCAAATACAATTACAAAGCAAGAGAGCTGCTGATGTTGAAGAAAACTGCCTCATTAGAAAAGAAAATAATACATTTAAGGCTATTTGTTTAGGGTTCTGAAAATAAATAAAATAGTGGGTGTTAATGTTAAGAGCTCTTTAAAAAAACACAGCACAATTTAAATCACTACACTCTCTAAAATGTATTTACTCCAATAATTTATTTTACAAAGTCTTAGGTGAATACATATCATATCTGTGACTCTAGAGTGTGTGTTCACAGACTCTGGACACAACCGGTAAAAAATTCTGCATTTAGATTCAACAGTGCTCTCTTCCACAGCCCATCTGGAGAGAGACAATTACCATTTTCCCTTGCCTTGATCTTGTTTGTTTAACTTGACACAGTGAAGAAAGGGCTGACATTGACCAAAATCCCAAGCATTAATTTATCTCATGTTCTGCATTCATCATTGCCATAGTGCAGGAAGGACCTGGCAGTCATCTGACATACCTGACCATGAAAGGCCCTACAAACAAAAAAACCTGGCTAGCAAAAGAAAACAAATTAGCTGCTGCTGCATGAAAAGAGTCACACGGACACTGAGAAACATTTCAGAACCTTACTTTTAAAAGTTCTGATTGTACATTTTACAGGATCTTGATTTCGAAACAAGACAGATGTTCCAACATTTGCATTTCTGAAGTCAGACATGTTTTCTCCCCCTTTCTGTCTATGGTTCAAAACGGCAGTGTGACTCAGCCCCCTTCTACACTGCCACATAAAATCCAGATTATCTGCTTTGAACTGGATATGGCAGTATGGACTCATATAATCCAGTTCAAAGCAATGTGGATTATCTGCTTTGATAATCTGGATTATATGGATGGCAGTGTAGAAGGGGCCTCAGTTCAGCCATCACGGCAAAAACACATCATTGTGGTCAAAAACTTCCTGCAGGCTCAAATGTGCGATTCCTTCCTCCACTTTCTGTCCACCAATTCCATGTGCATCAGTTTTCTCTGTCACTTTCAGAACGTTTCTCCTTACAGGTTGATATGAAATCTAGAAATATGAATGACCTCCCTTCACATGGCCAACCCATCAAACAGGTCTGCCAAATACATGATTGATCCAGGATTTTAATGTGTGTTAGCTGAGCTACTTGTGGCCCTAGTACTGGAGTAGGCAAGATCGGAAGATCCAGGAGATAATATTAAAAGACTAGAAAGTTCTGGTATGGGTTTCATCATACATATATTCAGCACAATATAAAACTGGGAGTCCTCCTCCACATGTGTAAAATCCACTTTATATTTTATTTTATTGGTGTTGCTGTTGAAAGAAACTAATATTACTAATAATTAAAAAGACTGGCTACACTGACCTTTAGGCTAAAGGTTTAGGCTAAGACCCTTCAGGGAGAGAGGGATGGTTAAAAATAAACTATTATTATTATTATTATTATTATTATTATTATTATTATTATTGGTTGTGGCCGGGCATGGGAACTACCACCCCACTTTGTCTTCGTAAAGAGCCAGTGGAACATGACCCCCCTTGAAATTGCTGCTGAACTTGCTGACCGAAAGGTCACAGGTTCAATTCCGGGATGGTGTGAGCTCCCGCTGTTAGGCTCACCTTCTGCCAACCTAGCAGTTAGAAAACATGGAAATGTGAGTAGATCAATAGGTATCGCTCCGGCGGGAAGGTAATGGTTCTCCATGCAGTCATGCCGGCCACATGACCTTGAAGGTGTCTATGGACAACGCCGGCTCTTTGGCTTAGAAATGGAGATGAGCACCAACCTTCAGAGTCAAACGTGACTGGACTTAATGTCAGGGGAAAACCTTTACCTTTACTTAGTGGAAGATTATTTCACAGGGAGGGCTGCTAAAAGGTGCTACATAAAAGAAATATAAAGATTGATATGAACTATGCTGGCTTACAGTGGGCCTTATTTTCTAGAGCACTGCATCATAATAGGTTGCCCCCTCTTGAACGAATCTAATGACTATTTTCCATCTTGTATCAATTTTTAAAGATGGATGGTTTACCACTCTAAAAATCAAATCTGCTCCAAGAAATTAATGCCTATGCAATTTTCCAGTAATCCTGCCTTCCACAGTATTAACAAAAAAAAACATTGCAAGTAATTAGACATACATACTTGATACGCTAGTTTTCTTGTACAGACATAAGCGAACGCACACACACACACACACACTATATAAATAAATAAGTTGAAGCACTCACTTGCAAAAATTCATTGAGTTCAACCTGCCCGTTTTTGTTCAAATCCACTTCATTCAAAATCTCATGGAGTGCACTTTCATTAATTTGAAAGTTGATGCTCTATGAAGTATATGAAAGAAAAAAAGCCCACATGCTTGGATTAATACTACACTATTAATATCATGCCAGGCAATTTTGACATATTTTTTTTCTTATAACAGAGAAGAAGTAAAATGTTACCTCTAACACACGCTGCACATCCAAAATGGTAATAAAACCTTTGCTTTCCTTATCAAACATGTGGAACCTCTTTTTATATCTGCAAGATTAGAGCATTCGTGAAAAAGGTGTACAAATAGAAAAAACAGTTTAAATTATGATTTTTAACAGGAGGCTCATTTATAACTATGAGGCCCCCTGTTCCTTGCATCCTCACAATACTTTCACTGCAGTTTTCAAAATATCTACCCCTGCATTTATTTTCACCAGCTCTAAAAACTCCTCATTTCCTAACATTTCTCCTTTAAATTCCATTCCATACCATGCTCACCAATGGCAGAGTCATCAAAATCTGAGGGAAGGACACATAGCTCAATGGAAGAACACATAATATATAAATATATGGTTCCAGGTTCAAATACCTCAGGCCCCATCTACACTGCGATTATATTGCAAACTGAACTGGATTATATGGCAGTGTAGACTCAAGTTCAATCTGCATTATATGAGGCCCCTTCCAGGCTGCCCTATATTCCAGGTTAGAAAGCTACCTGATTATATGTTTATCCCAGATTATCTGGCAGTGGAGACTCATTTAATCCAGTTCAAAGCAGATAACCTGGGATCAGAACCTGTGACTCAGGGCAGTGTAAGAGGAAGTGAGTCTACCATATAATCCAGTTCATAACATGGCAGTGTAGGTTGGGCCTTAGATTTCCAGTTAAGAGAATCTGAGATATTAATACTAAGAAAGATCTTGGTTTAAAGCAAGAAAGAGGAAACTGAACTGTAATTCCTATCACCCCAGACAAATGGTCATGTCACCTGAGGCCAGTGGTAGACCATAGGTTTCTCAACCCATCTGAGGCCTGTATTATAAAACAGCAACACAAGATAGATCAACCTTCTGAGGTTGTAAGGCAGGTAGCTTTCTAAGCCAATCCTTCTATTCTCAGCCTAAAATAGAAAACACAATCTTCTTAGTTTGCCAGGGAGCAGAATAAGAATCACTCAGACTGTCTATGAACATATCAAAGAAACAAAGGGAACGCACCAGTGGTAGCAAAGTCAAGGGGGCTTGATGTTATAGCTCAGCAATCATGGCTGAAAGTGTTGTTATTAAACTGCATGCCAGTCCATCGAGTATTCTACCTTGAGTACAGAAACTAACAGGGACTAACACAATATCTTTACCTTTCAATATCCGTTGGGGACAGAGTGATTTCACTACGATCCGTCAATTGCTCTGACTTTGCCTTGTAGCCCATTTCATAGTACAGGAACTTCTTTGCCTCCTCAAGCTGCTCCTGAACAGGGAGAGCAACACAAAGTCTCAGCTCTAGGGTAACAGCAAATATTTACATTCTGCATTTCTTCTTTGCTGTAATGTTTTACTGGCTCCTTTCACTTAATTATAATTGCCGGTCCTTAGAGGAATATCAGCAGTTGATGACCAAAAAGTGCTTAAAGGTGAACAAGGTAATTAAGATTAGGCAGCATTTCATGCTTCAGTTAGATCACTGGTTCGGTTGTACAAGTGTTGATTATCAAGCGATAATTACTCCAGGAGACGTGCAATGTAAAGATTTTTAGGGCTGTATCACACTCTTAATCTATGCGTGCGACTCACAGTGATGGCAGCAAGACCTGCGCTTGCAGACAAAAGGGCCGAGAGGTGGCCTTTAAATTTAATGCTGCTATCACATAGCTACAATTAATACCCTAAGTGGCAAGTGGAAAGCTTTGAGATATCTAATTTTTGACGCTTCTGGCATTTGTTGATTGCTGTGTTCAGGCAGCTGGACAACTATGCAGCCCAAGCCTTTAAATGCTTTCTTCTCTCCACCAAGCTTTTTTTTTTTTACCTTTTAGACATATTTCCCTATGTGCTCAGCACTGTTGACCACCCTTAAATTATTCCAGCCCCTGATCATGTAAAAGCAGGGTTCTACAGCTGAGAGTCTGACAGAAACAATCCTTCCTAAAGTCCTACACTTTACCTTCCTAAAGTCCAACACTTTACCTTCCTAAAGTCCTAAACTTTACACTTTCATATTTTAGTTCTGGGGGTCTGAAAACAATGATATTGAGATTCCATTCCCCATGCCAGTGGGCAACAACTAGTAAAAAAAAACACCCCACATAAAAACTCCAACTTTCTCTTCAGGTATTTGTAAGATATACAATATTTTTCCAACATGAAAACTGAGCGTCAGACCACAGACAAAATATATAACTGTTACAAATAGTCCCCTTCAGGAGCTGGTTCCTTTCAATGCTATGGAGGGAAATTATGGGACCCACCATATGGACTGAGGCTATTACCCTGCTTAGCTTTCTTCATTTCTATGACTTCAAAGAAAACCAGAAAGGGCAGCACTGATGAGGACCTCCAAACATTTATGTCAAAGAAGATGACCAATCACTGTTATATTTTAACCATGTTGATCAGGCTTGTCCCCTTGTAAAGCTGCCCCGAGTCCCTTCGGGGAGATGGAAGCAGGGTACAAAAAAAATAAAGTTATTAAAGGCTATTTGTAAAAGCATCCCATGAAGTAAGCCTAACAGCCCCAATCAAGGTGCTTCCTCCAACTAGAGCTGATCTATTGAATCAATAGGTTTTACTGAAACACTGACTTAGCATTCAGCAGCTGAATTAGTCGATTTATTGTAGTTGGGACTAACAACTGGATACAGACCAAAATGTGCTTTGGGCCATAGCTTGGTAAGAAAGTAGTTTCATGTATAAGTGTGGACTTTATCATTTCTTTTCTCCACTGTATGTGGCTCCTTCAACACACCTCCTGTCTGTCCTCTCTTCCATTTTTGAACTATCCAATAACTTGGGACATGCTTCCACACCCTCATTTACCTCAATTTAATCTTTGGAAAGAATCTTCTATACCTAAGGCTATGGAACAAGACAATCCTACTCTCCCCCGACCCACCCTGATTGTACCTTCTTCTTCTGTTCACTCCATTTTAGCCTCTTCCCCATGATCTCAATAATTCTTGGCAAGGCTTCATCAGCTGCTTGCACATTCAGGAAAGCCAAACGTGTGCGGCGGGCAATCATATCCACGGCAGAGCAGGCATACTCTTGGATCCCATATTCAATCTACGGTATTGAAAGAGAGCATTCAAAAGATCAATTAGACTTTGAAAACCTGAAACAGAACACAGAACTCATACTCTCCCCTCCCCTTAAATGGCCATGAAGGGGACAGCAGGGTGGCACATCACATCATGAAGGAGATACAGCATATTTCCTTCCATAATGAGAACTAAAAAGTGTACACTTGTGTAATTTGCTATATCACCAACAGGATTCTGGTCATAATTTTACAAAACTGGAAATCTAATAATATAGATTATTATCAGTACTGGTGCATTCAAGATCTTCTAATATTGATGCTTCAAGGAAAACTAATTTATGTGAGACCAAACTTAAAACAATTTTTTAATTCCCAATTTATCTGGAATATAGATATGTTGGTATTATCAAAGTAGATCATAATATAAACAGGATTTATTTACTTTTCTTCATTTGTAATTTTTTAACCATGATAAAATGTATTTCCAACTGACAGCTCACTCTCTTTAGACTATAGTACTCTGATTTACTAACTATTATGAGTTAGAAGCAAGAGAAATCACAGCTACTCGACATTGTATTATAAGACAATAGAGACTTATTGTTTAGAGACCTAAACAGAAACACAAGAAAAGAAAAGGGGAGTGGAAGATAAAACCCTCCATCATACCTCTGACTCAATGTAAGGAAATTCTGACACAAGACGTTTTCCAACAATAGGCCATCTCTTTCCAGTCACCTGAGCTAACTTGGCCACTTCAAAAGCCTTGTCCCCAAATGTATTTGCAAGATGTTGAGCCACCTATGGAATTGAGAACATGTTATGCAGCTGATACTTTCAGGAATACGGCTTCACCTAAGACATGAGTGATTCCTGAGAATTCTCCTGTTGCCAGTAACAAATAGGCTGAAGAAGACACTGGATGCAAGATTATGTGGGAGGCAACTGACTACACCTGGAATGCTGAGGTCAGCATTAATTCTGCTTGCATGTATCAATTGAACAGTGACTAACGATGCTTTAGAGTCCTGCTACTGTGATCAGGTTGGAAGAATAGATCTACCTGGAAGTGAGAAGGCACAAAGCTTGGATACTGCCATAGTTCAGAGAGAATGCATACAGAGACATTACAATAATAATAAAAAAATCTGAAGAATGTGTTTCATATTTTTCATTTCTGAAAAAAACAACAAAAAGAAACAAAAGGGTTTTTTTTGTTTTTATGGGAAGAGGTAATTGTACAGCCAAAAGAGAAAGCTCCTTCCTGTGAACTAAAAATGTTCTAGTTTCACACTATTCTATCTTATTTAATAAAACAGACACAGACGATACAAGTCTCACCTCGCTTTCCAGTCCATAATCCTGAACCAGTCGGATATAAAGAGTAGGGCTCCAACCCTCTGCACCCTGAAGGAGAAGTCCTGAAGTCTTACAGGGACCGGCACGAAGACCATGAGCTTTCACAGCAGCATCAATAGTATCCTCTGCCATTGAGCGATACGTTGTCCATTTCCCACCTGTGAACAAACATAGGCAGTCCCCAAGTCATAAGCAAGATAGGTTCTGTAGGTTTGTTAAGTTGAATTTGTTTGTAAATCAGAATAGGTACATTTTTAAGTGTAGCTCCAGCCAAACATACACACACATAAACGCACGCACGCGCACACACACACACACACACACGTGAATGCATGCTTTGAATAGCATAGGGAAGGGTTGTTTGTTTTGTTGCCTGTCCCCAATTCAGTAGATTTCACCTCACTTTCTGTCCCCATTACAATTGGATTTTGAAAAATTTAGTTTGTTGTGGAAACAAGGATTGGTGAGAAAGCTCCCTGTGATAACTTATTCAGGAGTGAATTTCCCTCCTAGGGGTAGATTTCTCTCACTTCCTATTGTCTCACCCCCATCCTTAACTATGAGGCATCCATAAATTGGATTTTTGTAACTCAGGGACTGCCTGATGGATATTATCATGTATTGTTGAAGGCTTTCATGGCTGGAATCCATGGGTTGTTGTAGGTTTTTCCAGGCTATATGGCCATGTTCTGGAGGCAATTTTTCTCCTGACGTTTCGCCTGCATCTATGGCAAGCATCCTCAGAGGTAATGAGGTCTGTTGGAACTACAAAAAATTGGTTTATATATCTGTGGAATGACCAGGGTGAGACAAAGGACTTTTGTTTGCTGGGGCTAGCTGTGAATGTTTCAGCTGATCACCTTGATTTGCATTCAATGGCTTGGTAGCGCCTGGGGGGAATCTTTTGTTGAGGGTGATTTCATGTGCCTGTTTGTTTCCCCTCTGTTGTTTTTCTGCTGTAATTTTTGAGTTTTTTAATACTGGTAGCCAGGTTTTGTTCATTTTCATGGTTTCTTCCTTTCTGTTGAAATTGTCCACATGCTTGTGGATTTCAATGGCTTCTCTGTGTAGTCTGACATGGTGGTTGTGAGAGTGGTCCAGCATTCTGTGTTCTCAAATAATATGCTGTGTCCAGGTTGGTTCATCAGGTGCTCTGCTATGGCTGACTTCTCTGGTTGAAGTAGTCTGCAGTGCCTTTCCTGTTCCTTGATGCGTGTTTGGGCGCTGCGTTTGGTGGTCCCTATGTAGACTTGTCCACAGCTGCATGGTATACGGTAGACTCCTGCAGCTATGCGGTCAGTGGTTCCCTTGATGTATGGCAAGAACACTTTTCCTCTGGGTGGATCTTCATCTTTACGCTCGTAGTTTGTTCTGACCGCATAGGGAAACTGATGAGGAAACACAACATACAAACCACTTACAGACCCACCAAGAAAATCCAACAAATGCTACGTTCAGCAAAGGACAAGAGGGATCCTCTCACCTCTGCAGGAGTCTACCGTGTACCATGCAGCTGTGGACAAGTCTACATAGGGACCACCAAACGCAGCGCCCAGACACGCATCAAGGAACATGAAAGGCACTGCAGACTACCTCAAACAGATAAGTCAGCCATAGCAGAGCACCTGATGAACCAACCTGGACACAGCATATTATTTGAGAACACAGAAGTGCTGGACCACTCGCACAACCACCATGTCAGACTACACAGAGAAGCCATTGAAATCCACAAGCATGTGGACAATTTCAACAGAAAGGAAGAAACCATGAAAATGAACAAAATCTGGCTACCAGTATTAAAAAACTCAAAAATTACAGCAGAAAAACAACAGAGGGGAAACAAACAGGCACATGAAATCACCCTCAACAAAAGATTCCCCCCAGGCGCTACCAAGCCATTGAATGCAAATCAAGGTGATCAGCTGAAACATTCACAGCTAGCCCCAGCAAACAAAAGTCCTTTGTCTCACCCTGGTCATTCCACAGATATATAAACCCATTTTTCCTAGTTCCAACAGACCTCATTACCTCCGAGGATGCTTGCCATAGATGCAGGCGAAACGTCAGGAGAAAAATTGCCTCCAGAACATGGCCATATAGCCCGGAAAAACCTACAACAACCCACGATATTATCATGACTTTTATCCATTGTGTACAAAAGATTCCAATAATATGATCATTTTAGAATGGAGTGGGGAGCTGAGTCTGGAGAGGAGCATAACCAAAGACCTGATTTTGCTCATCCCATTCTTTCCCTACAGTGGGAAGTGTGTGAGAAGGGAGGACAACCTGGAGCACTCAGCCATGTTTTCAGGTCTGCATTCTGTTGCCTCCCAAAGCATTGGCTGTTATGTGTCTCAACTACACCATCCTTCCCCTTGTGAAGAGGACGAGGAGTCATGGTAGCTTCTTGGCTGCAGAGGCTCCTGTGAGCATCAAAGATTTCCCTTCTCCGGTCTCCTTTCTAAATGGCCATGACCTCAGTGAGACACAGATCCCAGCAGGCAAAATTGGACTCACAAGCTGACAATTCCCTTCACAATTTCTACTGTCACAATTAGGAAATTTGGCATGGAAGCATAGAGTTGGAAGAGACCTCGTGGGCCATCCAGTCCAACCCCCTGCCAAGAAGCAGGAAAATCACATTCAAAGCACCCTTGACAGATAGCCATCCAGCCTCTGTTTAAAAGCCTCCAAAGAAGACTTTTGAATGTTTTCCTTTAACCAAATGATGGGATGTTCCAAGTCATACAACTTGTGAAGAATTTCTAGTATGTGTGTGAGAGACAGAGACACAAAAAGAGATTGAAATTAAAAGTTTTGGTACCTGCTATGGTCACAAGTCCACTGTCACTAACGTGCACCACATGGTTCCTGGAGATGGACTGAGTGTCTTTGGAATTGGGATCCGTTACAAGGGGACGAATCCCACTCCATGCAGCTAAAACATCTCCTCTCCTCACTGTTGTTGAAAAGGCAAAATGGAAAACCTATTAGAAAAGTCTTCCAAAGAAGGGTTTTTAAAACAATATATGCTCAAAGTGCCACCAAAAAAAGAAAAAAAAAGAAAAAAAAAGATGTTTACCACAATTTCTTAAATGTCATTTCAGAGAAATAATGCTGCCAGACTCCACAAATGTTAATGGCAGAAAGGCAAAAAACGAGAGAGAGAGAGAGAGAAGGAAGTACAAATCTTTTGATTTAATAAAGCCTAATGTTTAAGCAGGCTTTGAGAAACCTCACAACAATAATATGACAGAACTAGAAAGGGTTAGTTGCCTCACATAAGTGAAATGCCACAGGAGATGGGACAAGATACCTAAAATGAGAATGTAAATCAGGAAAAGTCACAAACAAAATTTAAATTGATCTAAAAAAACTGGGACTCATTCAGACCTTAACATGAAGGAAACTCTTTTAAGTACTGAAATATTATGAAAACTTCCAAACACTAAAACATTTTAAGCTTAATTCTCTTAGGCTTTCAGAAAAAAAAATAGATTTTATGCAATTTGCTACAAACGAACAGTGAATAATGCTTTTCGTTTATGCTGACCTGCTGTCTGTTCTTTAGCAATCTCATGCGTAGATATCAGCTATACTCACCCCCTGCACCCGTGGAAATATACAGCAGTGTGGGGATACAGACAAAATACAAGTTATCTTGAGTCCATGGAGATAAAAATGTCTTGTGGGCATATCTTTATTTGTCATGTAACATATGACACATAAACATGTAACACATGGCACATTTGTATTTCAATATGTTCAAGATTACTAAAATATTGAGAGTCCTTTTAATATATTTAATTTTCTAGCAATCCTTACTGTTTTCGACAAGTGTGATATATAAAATGACATAATTAATTACAGGGAAATAATAAAGAAGTATTCCAAAAGATCCAAAGGAGTTTGTATTTTTCTTCTTCTTGCAATGCGGTTCACCATTTCGGACAGAATTAGTTCCTTTCCACTCTGCAATTATATTTCCATCTCAGGCTTTCATATATTTGCAAAACCATCAAGTGCCTAAATTGCCAAACCAATTTTTCTAAACTGAATAGTAAATTTCAAAATTTAAATGCAACAAGGAACTCTGAGTCTATATCTGAGGCATCATCTCAAATAATATGTATATGTATATGTAATTTTTCTTACAGTCCATCAACAGGATTAAAATTAGAACACAACACATTTACTAAACTAAATGAAGGAACATTTGGTGTCCCCGTGCTTTTAAAACAATCTTACATTATTTGAAGAAAAATGAATGTAAAATTATTTATGAATGCCACTGGGCTCTCATGAAACTTTCCTAAGTTATTGTGTGTTTATTTTTTTAAATACTCTTGCTTGGAGAGGGTGTTATAAATAGAATACAACCCTAAGTGGCAAAAGTGCTCCTATGAAGGTTTTGGAAAACAGAACTTAATTTTCTATCAAAAACGTTAAATGAAACGTGGAGTATTCTCAAAGCTTTCCATATTTAATGGTCTCAGTTCTTCATCATAATGAATTTCTTTGAATGACAACAGCTAGATTGCAAAGTTTAAAAAAAACTCTGAGAATTTGGTGAATTTTGAACATTGTTTTTGATTGATAAACTGAAGCACCAACTGAGATTGACATTAAAAATTACAGCTGTGAAAAATTTATGAATGTGTGGCAACCTTTTATTGTGTTTGCTGGAAAAAATATCATTAGAGAACTTAAAGTTCTGGGAATGTCTGCTTTGGCTATTTATTGAAGGGGGGGGTACCTTGTGTTCAAGGTAAATACCTTGTGTTCAAGGTATTTCTCCACTAGTTCGATTGCCATATATTTTATTTAAAATACACTGTTTTAATTGTTTAAAAGTGACAACGGAGGAAAGAATGCCAAGATAGCCAAGATTAGGCTTAGCGCTTCGGAGCAAAATTTAATATTTTAAATCCAGTTAAAAAGTATGATTGCAGAGCAAAACAGTGCTGCCATTCTGCTTTCAAAGAATACTGTCACCAACCCCTTCCCACTTTTAGGAAAAATCTGGGGCAACTACCTGCTGTAAATTGCTTTGTTCCGCAGTAGCAAGATGAGAACAAGTAACTGTTTATGCTTAGAAACCTCCCATCACTTCTTCATTGCTTAACAAGACTCTTGGCACCAAAGGCAACTGAAACTTTTGTGTATTCTAACTACTAATTTTCAACCCAAATTACATCATACACATGGCAGAAGGGTCATTTACATGCATTGTTTCTAGTGAGATCCATTCTCTGCTTCTCACAATATTAGAAATCTTTCTATGACAGTAGAATGTAAAACCATGGCACCCAAAGACCAACCCAGAAGAATTATTTCTCACATGCATATGATGCAATCTGGACTTGGCCTGTTGCACATGAGTTGCTCAAGATTTCATCTGCCATTGCCAGACCTTGGGAAAGAATATCAAAGCCATTTGCTGCAGGGTGTTTGCAAGAGACAGAAATGTCAATGATTTCAATAGGGGAAGGAGGCCGATGAAATTTGAGATTTCACCCTTTCAGTCCCATGAATTGCGTGTGTTAAATATTAAAATCACACTTTCAGCCACCTCAAGGTTTCCCTTGGACCACCAGAAGAAATCAGGAGGAGGTCGCAGAAACACAGATCAATACTTTTAGTTGTCACCCGTTGTCGGCTTTATCTAATTTTGCTTGAAAAAAAATGTGCAGCCTTTTCCTTTATTTAGTCATTTACTTTCTCTGTATGTGTCTTTAAGTTGTCTGTTGACTTACGGTAACCCCGTGAATTTCACAAGCTTTGCTTAGGCAAGGAATAGTCTGAGGTGGTTTTGCCAGTTCCTTCCTCTGAAATATAGCCTACAGCATCTGGCATTCATTGGTGGCCTTCCTCACTAAGTACTAATCAGGGCTGACTATGCTGAGCTTTGAAGATCAGATGAGATCTGGTGTGTTTAGACTATTTAACCCCCATAGCCATTTAGTACTAATGCAGTGGATCTCAATCTGTAGGTTCCCAGATGTTTTGGACTTTAAATCCCTGAAATCCTAACCACTGGTAAACTGGCTGGGATTTCTGGGAATTGTAGGTCAAAACACCTGGGGACCCACAGGTTGAGAACCACTGTACAAAGGTATTCTCGCTCATGTTGGCGAAATAGGTCTCCTAGCCTACACCAAAGGAGAGAAAGGGAAAACTTCAGAGACAATAAAAGAGAAAACAGAATATACATTACAATAAATCCCCTCCCTTTCTTTCTTAGTGCACATGGCTACAGCTATGTTGTCATCTCAGACAAAAATATAGAAAAGTCAATAAGCCACAGATCACAAACCAAGAACTGGGAATATGTGCCACAAGATCATATTGTTAGTATTTAAAAAAAAAAAAAATAATGGATGGATTCCCACTCAAATACCCATACAAAGATTTTAATTCTTTTCTAAAGACAAATCCTTAGCCTCTCTATCTCTCCCCTCCTTTCCTGCCAGGAGAAACCTTTGCTACTGGCCTCTCTTAAATGAAAACACGTCTTAGAAAATCTGTTAATTTCATCACAGTGGACAAGGGCCATCACAAACAAGGCTTATGAGTGCACTGGAGGCAGGGGAGAGGTTTTTGGTGAGACTGCCTTTTTTTGTTTTGTCTTAAAGATACTCCTTTCACAGGAGTGTTAACAGAAAAATCAATAAGGCCTTGTAAAAATATCCTGAAAGAGCAGAGCAGAGATCTGAGAAATCAATGTTGTTCTGCCAGCATGTTTAACCCACCAAAATGAAGTGCTAATCACAGAAATAAGATACCATATTACATTTATAAATTAATAAAACTAGAAAAAGCAGCATGTGTGGCACTATAATTAAACAGCTGGAACACATCCAAGCCTGTGTAAGTTGATAACCCTGCCACTGTCTTTGGCAGCAAAAAGGCAGGTCTGCAGTGAGTTGATATGGCCAGCGCAATTGTTAATTCTCTAACAGACAATCTATAAACACGACTAATTACACATGTGGAAAACAGTGTGCAGCCCAGGTTGGTTACTTTCAAAAGCATTAAATGCTCACAAAAACTACTTCTGCAGAACTGCCCTGCCGGAAAGAAAATCTGTCTTAATCAATCCTCCAAGCTGTAGCTTTGTAGAAGCAACCACCTTTCCTGACAAACCACAGCTTCTTCTTCTTTTAATTTCTGCACGAGGGACCTAATGATAGGGGTTGGGTTTTTTTTTCTGCTTCTGTAGACCATTTTTCTTTAATGGCTACAACAATAACAGAACTATCAATTACCCATTTCAAGGAAGAACAAACAAGCAATTCTGAATTTTCACTCTGAAGGGGAGGTCTCTGAATATGAATATTCAGCCTCTGTAAACACCTACCAAGGGCAACTCAGAGTTCATGCTTTTTATAGAATCACCTTAACAAGAATGGTTGATTCAGGGGGTTGGTAATGAAATCTGATGTGTTTTATATCTCTCCGTTCTCGAACTTATTTCTGTTTGGAAAATTACCAGGAAATTCTCCAACAGTGTATATTAAACAACCAACAAACAGATAAGCTTCACAAACACAACAACTAAGGAAAGGTAGGGGATGGTAACAGAAAGAGGCTGTGTGGGGGGGGGGGAGAGGGGGGTTAAGTTCAACCCACCCCCTCCCCTGCAATAAAGCTATGCACGGTGATACTACAACAGCTCACAACTTAAGTAGAGATTTCCTTTTTTTTCTTATAGTACATTTTTCTCTTAATGTTTGCTCACTTCATATTAAAGCTGATGTTTTATCTGGATTTAAAGCTCTTCTGGAGCTGTGAATAGGATGATTAGGATGTCAAACTCAATTATGGATTGGAAACAACATAGAGGTGATTATTCATACACAGTAATGAGGAAGGCTGCGCCAATGCTAGGAATCTCTTTCCCATTCCACTGTTCCAAGGACCAACTTGGAATTCATCCCTTCTGTTCTCCATACAAAGAGAAGAGAAGCAAAGCTGGCTGTTCTTAGCTGCAACTTAGACCAGGCAGCTGGATACTAAACTCTGTTCTCAGCACTGGATAAGAGGACTTCATTCTTCCTGCCCGTTTGTTAAATTATCAAATGGAGCAGCTCCACCGACCACAACAGGCATGAATCAGTGACATTAGTAACATGTCACAGAGGGCTGATGTGTAGATAAGCCCTCCAATACATTTCCCACACTTGAAACATACAACCTTTACCTTATACTTATCAAAATAAATCTCCATCCCAGTGTTGGAGTAACTTTCTGTAATCTGCAACTCTTAAATGGTTGAATCCAGGGATTGTTAAAACATCAGACTAGACTTATTTTGTACAGCACTACTCCCCCCCCCCCCCCCCCCCCCCAGAAACACATTCTCCCTCAAAAACACATTCTACCTATCTCATCCAGGGTTTTATCAATTCTATCAATTTTACTTCTAGTACATTTTGCCCGCCCACTGTGTCCCATTTCTCTATCATGTCATTTTGGAACTGTATTGTCGAAAGCTTTCATGGCTGGAATCACTAGGTTCTTGTGGGTTTTTTCGGGCTATAGGGCCATGTTCTAGAGGCATTTCTCCAGGAGAAATGCCTCTAGAACATGGCCCTATAGCCCAAAAAAACCCACAAGAACCATTTTGGAACTATTTATTTTATTTTGTTATGTTATGTATTTATTTTGAAGATATTTTAGCTTTTTGTATTTTATTTTGCTGTACTTGTATTGTATTTTGTTGTAATTTTGGGCTTGGCTTCATGTTAGCCGCCCCGAGTCCCCTTCGGGGAGATGGTGGCGGGGTATAAATAAAGGTTATTATTATTATTATTATTATTATTATTATTATTATTATTTTCTTAATTATTTTTGCTCAAGGGAATCTCCAAGTTAAATTTTCTTAATGGAAAGAAGATATTTACAAATATAGAGGTGTCCTGGTATCAACCATCATTAGTGTTACAAATTACCTTCCACATCACAACTCAGATAGTTGCGAACTTCTGTCAAAATGAAGTTGATGTCTTCTTCTGTAGGAATTGGATGATGTGTGACTTCAGTTGCAGTATCTGTGGTACCAGCAATAGTCATCTTTTGCCAGGGCAAGAAGAAAATCACTCGTCCATCGCTAGTGGATGGGTCCAGGAGTCCCATGTTATCTGGGCTGGAAAAGAGGGAGAGTGTTTGATCAGCCAAAAGTTTTGATAAGTTTACCCTTAAGAGCAGGACAGCAGTAATTTCCTGTTGTTTATCTTTTACTTTTGTTTTGATTTATATTTCATAATTCTTCCAAAGCTAGAACACAAGGTGATTCTCAAGAATAAATAAAAAGGTGAAGATAAAAGCACAAGAAATACAATTAACTAAATTATAATACTGAAATACAGTTGATTTTAAGGCAATAAAAAAAAAGAAGTGCCGAAACAAACCATTAAAAACCCATTCACCTAAGATTAAGGTACACTTGGTTATAAGTTTTCCATCCCCACTTTTTATCTGTACTTGTATATTTATAATTTTACTTGGACCTTATATATACTGTATGTTGTGCATATATTATCTGTTTTGTTAAGGCCAATTGGCTGATCAATAAAATAGTTTCATTTCATTAAAAACCCATTCTTCAGGAACAAATAAATTGTCAAAACCTTGCCCAAATGAAAAGGGAATTGGCAGCTGGCAGAAGTGCAAAAAGAAAGGGAGGTCCACAGTCTACAGCAGTGGTGTCAAACTTGTGGCCCTCTAGATGTTTGGGACTCCAACTCCCAGAAGCCCTAGCCAGCTTGTCCAAGAGAGAGCAATTCTGGGAGCCAATCCAAAACACCTGGAGGGCCACAAGTTTGACAACACTGGTCTGCAGAAAAGCCTCTGGGAAATGCTGCTCAAAGAATTAAGTATTTGACTTTTGTTTTCCACCTCAAAAATGGCTTCATTATTTCTTGAAGCTCTTATGTATCTTTTACCATATAACACCCATCAATTACAACCTTACTTATTCTTTGCTTAACATGTTTGCTTGATTTATGTGCTCTGTATATGACTTGCTTTGGTCCATTTATGGAGCTATTGTGATACACTGTATTGATCTGCGGTGGTGTGATACTATGAATGGATACTACTGCTTGGTGATGAGAAACGCAGACATATATGTATATCACATATGGATATAGTGTATCTGTGTGATCTTACATAAAGGGATGTGTTAAAATAACAAGATCAACCAAGCTGAAAAACCCAGCAAAGCTGCCTTCCACATCTTCTCTACTTTGTGGGGCTTAGGCTGAGTTGGTAGATGCCCCACTCCACTTCATCTCAACCCCATTTAGACTTGTTTTATCACATCAGGTTATAGTAGGTAATTTAAACTGTAGCCTTCAAAAAGAAAAAATTCTGTAGATTCTCTAAGAATAATGACAATGATAATGATGATGAAAATAATAACTTAAGATAGTCATATTCACATCAAAGTAGAAACTCATTGAAAATTGCACATTTGTTTCTCTATACACACATTATCCTTGTGAGAAAAAAATACTACATGAGAAGAGCACCACATAGAGGATGACAATTATATACGTACACCTGAAGTCTACGTTCGACACTAAGAAGTCTGTGAGATGATATTTATATACAGCTTAAGGATACATTTGGAGAAGTACAGCTTAAAAAGTGGGTGTCAACATGGACTTGTGCAAGGTAAACCATGGCAGACAAGTAATTACTTTCTGAAATGAAATCACTATTGATTTAGAGGCAGAAAAACTCAGGAATTTAATATACAGACTTAAACTATTCAGAAAACTTTTGACAAGTTTTAAAATAAGCTCTCTAAATTGGCTTAAAACAAGCAGAACTATAAAGGAGCTACGTATATTCTTTGCAAAGACTGCTGGGAGATAATTTGCATGATGTTTTAATGTCACCAAAACACTGAAGGAATTAAAACGGGGAAAAACAGATTTTTATTATTGTCTTTACCATTTCTACCAGATCCATTTCATTATTTTTCCAAGAATCTAGGTGCCAAACAAAAATACAATGTGGATAATGTTCTAGAATGCAATAAAAGAACGTACCAAGGTTTTCTGGGTAAAACCTTAGTTCCTCACAACCTCTGAGGATGCCTGCCATAGATGTGGGTAAAACGTCAGGAGAGAATGCTTCTGGAACATGGCCATACAGCCTGGAAAATTCATAGCAACCCAGTGATTCTGGCCATGAAAGCTCTCAAAAACACATTTCTGGATAAAGTTTTATCCCAGACCACATCCTACACCGCCATATAATGCAGTTTCATAATGGAATTTAACTCCCTTGAACTGTATTATATAGCAGTGCAGACAGGACTTGTCCCTCCTCTTCCACAAACTCCTCTTATGCATACAGCAGAAAATATTTTCAGTGGCTGTTCCTAGTCCAAGGAAATGTCATGTAAGGGAGTTCAATTGCCCCTACCTCATTGCTCTCTTTGAATGATTGGAGCAGAAAATTTTTATGGTATATAATGTATTTTTTCTATTATAATTTGAAGGTATTTTAACTGCTTTAAATTCATGTTTTAATTGGATTATGTAATGTCTTTTTTAAACTTGTTCTTCTAGTTACATTTTCTCTGGCCATTCCTTCATGTCAGTAGTTTTTCTTTGGCCCCCTGGACAACAGATACTCAGGACTTTAGCTCCCCTGCCCCCATCTACACTGCCACATAATGAAGCCTGAACTGCATTTTATGGTCAGTGTAGTCTCACATAGTGCAGACTGAACTGCACTGAACTGGATTATATGGATCTACACTGCCATTAAAATGGCAGTATAGATGGGGTCCCTATCTTCCATGGTCCTTTCCCAGTATCCAAGTACCCTCAAGATGTAAGATTTGAGAATCACTTTACAGCAGGCATGGGCAAACTTTGGCCTTCCAGGTGTTTTGGACTCCAACTCCCACAATTCCTAACAGTTGGTAGGCTTACAGGAGTTGTGGGAGTTTAAGTCCAAAACACCCGGAGAGCTGAAATTTGCCCATGCCTGCTTTACAGCCAACTGAGCCATCATTCATTCTGGACTATCACTCCATGTCAGTTAAGGAACTACAAGGGCTCTGCTAAACAATGCAGAGCAATGCAATTTCTTCTTCCTTCATTCCATCTAACTAAGAAAGTAAAACATTGTTTGTAAAATCTCCTGGCTATCTCTAAACCCTTTCATCCAGAAGTGGTCACAGCATTCAGTGAAATATAAAATAGAGTTCTGAGAAGAAATATGGATATGAGCTGCCATTTCTCTTTGGAGGTTTTTAGATAATGTAGTTTCTCTCTTGGTGGCCATTCTTCCTTCTCCCCTACCTCATTCTGCAGACTAGTTATAAAATTCTCTACTCCAGCCTTAGCATCTAGAAAAATCAGGAATCCACCATGCTGCCCTCAGGTTGTAATCAAAAGACTATTTAAAAAAGGAAATCAAGTAAATGCCTAGGTACACCCAGCAGATTTTTATATATTTGTTTTGCTTTAATGTTTCAGCAGCAGCTTTCTATATGGTGCAAAGAGAATTGGCTTGGAAGTAAAAAGTACGTAGAAGCGCCCTAACCAATATAAAATTTAATGTTTCCAAGCAACCCCGCAAGAAGAGGAAAAGAAACATCAAAACCTACTGTGAGAGATAATACTTCTAAGACTGTGTAGTAATGTTTTATACTTACTCATAATTCTTGATTTTTAAAATAGATACACACAATACCATGGGCCATGGCAAGAAGGAACTATAAGACTGTGCAAGAGAGAAAAGCCACTGAATATGATATTTTTAAAAGATTTAGCTGCAGAATTTGAGTACCACTTGATATAATTCAGCAGCATAATATAAGGACAACAACTCTTTTCCAAGTATGTTTAGAGTGGATTTCCAACTAATGTCTAATCAGGAAACTAAGACACACTGAGCCTTCCCATTTTCTGGGAAAGACGGTATGAGTATAGCTTCTCTGGATAAGTTCTCTGTTTTAAAATATTACAAGAAGCAGAACCACAAACAGTGCTGTGGCCAGCAGCCTGAAAGCAACAACAATTGGATTAAGGGTTGAAATGTATAAGGGATTACAGTCACACTAATATCATTCTGGGTGTGAGAAAGTCATGCAGTAGCTACTTAAGTGAGGACATGTATTAGAAGAACAGAATTAATGAGAGTAGAGGGAACACAGGGACTATTAATGAAGAATATAAAAATGTAAGAACCCACCGGGAAATGCTTGCAGTGTATTAACATTAAATTAATTAAATCTTATCTACATTTACACATAAAAAACCCTTTAAACTATTTACCATTTTCCCAGGATGATGTCAAAGTACTTTCCCAAAGAGTCAAGTAGTTGTAATGAAATGATACGCATTTTCTGCTAAACAGGATTCAATTGGCACTGGGGGAAAAAACTTGTTGCTAAATTAATACATACATCTAAAATTTCAGTGAGGTGCATATATTTATGACAGAGACAAATTCTTTGGCTTATCTATCTTTAGGATGAAACCAGGGTAGTCTTCACTCAGCAGCGCCGTGAGTGATATATGGAGAGTGCAATTGCTTCTGAAAGAAGGTAATCTGAATATTGAAAGATGCTGAGGAATAGGGCAAAGATGGAAGATGACACTGAGTTTATTACACAATAAATAACCAGATGTGCCCCACCTCACCACACACATGCAGTCCTGACTTCCATATAAGACTGAAGATGTTGCAGCCCACGATAAAGCAGCATGAACTGTTCCCAAGCATTTACATGGTGAAATATTAAAAGGTCAAAATATTTGCATTTCGGCTACAACTGTGCACTCTTTTTGCATGGAATGTCTTTTGAGTAGACTCCTTTTGTTCATTATTGTAGGTGGGTGATGCAGTCAGTAGCCCTAGCAACCATGCGAGTCACTGTGGGTAATCACCCCAGCTGTTCACTTTTAAGCATGCATAAATGCAAAGTGTAATAAAGATATCCTTGCCCTTGAGTTATTATGTGGCTGAAGATTCCACTGCAAGGGAACTCTGAAGTGATACGTAACAGCTAGAGCTGGAAAACGCCAACCGATCAGCATACAAGGAGCAATTCACTATGATTGTGAACTAGATTCATTCACATATCTGTGCTTTTGTCAAGATAGATCAGAAGAGAAGAAATTCACTGGTTGCCATCAATTAAATTGGGATTAGGAGACCCTTTTGGACGTTGGTTCTATTCCCATTCTGTATTCTCATTTAGGTATTTGTACTGCATATTACTAAAAGCCCCTGGTGGCGCACTGGGTTAACTCTTGTGCCAGCAGGACTGCTGACCAAAAGGTTAGTCGTTCGAATCTGGGAAGTGGGGTGAGTTCCCATCTGTCAGCTCCAGCTTCTCATGCAGGGACATGAGAGAAGCCTCCCAAAGGATGGTAAAACATCCAGGCGTGCCCTGGTCCACGTCCTTACAGCCAGTCAATTCTCTCACACCAGAAATGACTTGCAGTTTCTCAAGTCAGTCCTGACATGCAAAATAACCTGCATATTACTAGCAGGAAGTTTTTAAAAAATCAATTTTCAACAAAAAGCATGAGCCTGAAACCTAAGAACAACAAGTGGAAGAAAAAGAACCATTGGAAATGTTCTTTCTGGAAGGATTCTGATAAGTTCACACAAGTGAACACAAATAATAAGAAGTGGTCAGAGTTGTACTAACGTAAGAGATTACACAAATACCTACTATGCAAGTGTTTATACAAAATGTTGTGCAAGTGGAAGAATTTCAAATTCCTTTTCAGTTCTTTCACCTGCCCATGAAAAAATTATGCTTTATTTTAATCTGTAGAAGGGACATCTACAGTCTATTATTATAACACTCAACATTTACGCAGCACCTTTTGGGTGTTCAAAGTGTTTTGGTGAACTTCATGATAAGAAAGTAATCTAGGTCAGTAATGCCAATACGGTGGAACAGCTAAAAAAATATTGACTTGTTTAAGATCACCCAGTAACTGCTCTTAGCCATTATGTTTCAGTGCTTTTAAATAAACTCACAGATCCTTTGCAGGACTTGTCTTTTAAATGACAGCTAGGATTTTTAGGAAAGGGCAGATTATAGTTTAAGTCTACAGTGGACAAAGGATTGGCTGGAGGAAACATTCACATCAGTTAACCAAACTACTACTGACCAACAAATCATTGTTCATTTTGCATTCCTCTAATGATAATCGTTGTCAAAAGTCACATATATGAGGAGATATAATAATATTCAATCACAATATTCAAGTGAGGTAGGGAAGGGAACACTTTCCTCTTATTTTAAAACCATTCAAGCCTTCTCCCTGATGTATATACCAGTACAGTTGCTTGTATATTCTGACACAGGAACAATAGCAGCCAATGTCGCTTTGAAAATTCAAAGGAAATATAGTACATAGACTATACCATTTGCTTTCCCCTGCAGTAGCAGCTGCACCTTCTCCCTCTCTCTCTAGCTTATGGAGGGGGGCGGGTGGATTAAGCATCCATATTAAGATTGTTATAAATGATCCAAGTTTTGAATATCTTTACCTATAATAGCCAGGCATCACAATATGAACGCCTGCGCTTGGTTGACAGATGTTCAGTACTTCCTGATCATCCATTTTTCGCACAGAGTCTGTGAAAGGTCCTGTAGCATTGATAACACATTTGGCGTTGACATCAAATTCCTGCCCTGTGAAAGAAAACAGCATCAATCACATAGTCCATTTATTTCCCTGTTCACTGACTCTCTGGATTATTAATTTATCTATGAAGTTAACCTATTGTGAAGTGCATACACACACACGTGCACATGCTTAGAGCATATTACAATAACCAAACAGTTGGATTATTAAAATCAGTAGTATGTTTATTTGAGAGAGAAAATGCATGCTGCACTATTTCACTTTTTCCCCCTTTTAAGCATAAAATGTACAGGGGGGAAAAACAAAAACAAAAAACCAGGAGTGGCAGTAACTCTCACACACATACACCAATTTTGCTTTATTTATTGAGTTCTCTATTTAATGACATTCTTAAACCCTGAAATTTGTTAAATGGTACTATTACTGAAGGCACACCACACGGTATTTTACAACGTCAGCTTTGCTTGACAGAAGGGCTTGGATGTAAAGCGTGGTTTAGCTTGCCAAAGCACTAGGATTTGAATGAAAACCTGACAGAAGTTAAAGATGATTGGCATTAATGACATGCCACTGCACTTTGGAAATATGCCTCCTTTGTCAGTTAAGTGATATTTACAAACTCCAGACTCCCATTGCACTCTCCCCCAGCCCTATCCGTGTACCTTTACTCAGGGGGAGGGGGGTCAATCCCTGTTTCTTTAAACAGAAGAACAGAAGGCATTTATACACAGCTGTGCTGTACTGCAGTTTAACAACAGTATCCTCAAAGTGCATGCATGCAAAGGAGATAGGAAGCTGGAAGTGGCATTCCTTGATCCAGTGAATCACAGGATGTGAAGTATATGAACATAGCTTCCAAAAAACATACAGCCAGCTGTTGTGTGTGTGTGTCTATAAGCCAACACAGGTTATGTGTTAGGACTTTATAAATATCACAGAGAGCAAAACCTACATACCTGTGAGAACATCCCTGCACCTTGCTCCGCAGACACGGCTCTTCCCACTATTTGGATCTGTCTTCTTCAGCAAGTGCATCACTTCAGTGTAATTGGCTATGGCAGCACCATACCTGGCAGCAGTGAGGGCAATGGCAAGGTTCATTCGTGCATCGTTGTGTTGTCCTGCAGCAGGGGGCAGAATCAAAGGAAGGACATGAGTCACCTCAAGCCACTGACTGGTGGTATGGAAGTGTGTCAGAACGGATCTGTCACATCTGTCCCTGTCACACTGAATAGACGTGATGGCTGGTCAGGTCTAACAAGAATTATTCAGAGAAACATCATCTCTCAGTAGGGCAAAATGCTCACCTCCTTTTTTTAGAGGGAAAAAAGCATAACAATGCAAAAGCACAAACATTTGAAAGTGGCCAAGATTACTGTCGGAACAATGTGCTTACGTGCTGTAATTGAATTATTGATATTTTACAATCATTCATGTGAAGACACTCACACGAAAACAAGATGCCATGCTCCATTTTGAAGAAGGTGGGGTGAAGAGGGCTCCTCAAATTCCCCCAATCTGTAGTTACACGGTGTCTTCAAAGAATGTATTTTTTGACGGCCCCACTGGTGTTAATTAACAATCTCTATTAGCACACGCACTGCATGACATTAAAAAAAAGGCAATGATCTTTCACAGATTCCACCACTAAGCCTCTGCTGCCTATAAAACAGACATTCATTTTGCGTATATTTTAAGTTCACAACAGCACTTACAGTTTAAAAAAAATCTGAAAACACACAAAACCCCCAAGAAGGTTTAGTTAAATAGATCATTCTTAATATATATATCATTAAAGATGTATTACTGAATCTTCCTAGGTTGGGGTGGGGACATCAACATGGAAGAGAGAGCACTGAGGGGGGGAGGGGAGAGAAGGAGGGAGGGAGGAGTGCAGATGATTAATTACTTTAAAATAGTGGCATCACCTGAGACTTTCTATTTATTATTGCCACTGAAGTTAAAACCCTGGATATTGGCTGGGAGCAATTATTCTGAGTAGCAAGGGCCAAGCTCTGTGTGCCCAGAATAATTAATTACAAGGGCTAGTCTCCAGTAGGCAGGGTTTAGGATGCCCAAGAATTGGGACTGGTTGGATCAAGATAATACTACTGATAAAACGAAAGGGGTGGAATGAACGGTAATGGACACTGTTGTTGATTTATGTAGCCAGCATACAAAGTGCTCAGTATAAATGATTTATGTAAAGTTCGGCCCCTTCTGATTCTACTTCAGCAGCATCTAGCCACTGGGTAAGTAATCCCTTTCGAAACCAAAAGGGCAAATGACGTTAAAAGCAGGATCAATGGCTCCCAGAACTCTTATGCCCCACCTTCAAAACTTTTGACTCTATCAGAGAGAAGGGTGCAGAAGGAAGCTTAAGCAAGCTAAATAGGGGGGCAGGAAATACAGGAAATACTCCATGGCATCTGGAGATCAAAGGACAAGGAACAATAGCTTTTGTAAAAAGCCAGAAGGTTTTGAGGCATTGTAATCTCTTCTTTTATATTTAAATTGCTCCAGTCACTTTAGCTGCCTGCAGACTGAAAAACGAGTCAGATCAGGTCAAAAGCTATAATAAATAAATGAAACGGGAGCATTCCCAGTGCTAAATGAAAGAGAAAGTGCATGCATTAGTAAGCGCTAAAATAAATTACTAGAAGAAATCATGGTTACAAAAAAAAAGAAAAGTAAATGTTGGATCTGTAAAAAAAATGTTTGTATTTGTGATTTTTCTATTTTGATGCATCATCTAGACAGCAATCTCTATAAAAATCTTCTCCTGACTTATTACAAAGCCACATTCTTTGCCCCTCCACACACACACACCACAGGTCCCACTGTGTACAACTCTTCTTCAACACATATAGGAATTTCCAGGATCAGCAGAAGACACTTCAGTAATGGTGAATGACAGTGATGGAGTACTACTGTTACATTCTCAGCAGTGAAATGTTATTTAACAAGGAGCTATATCTCATTTAAGGGAAATAACAGCCTTGCTTTTAAAATAGCAAGTCATGTATGGATGTCATGGAATAAAGACTCCCACCATTACCTGATACAATTCAGTATCTGGAAAAAGAGCAACTACCTGCTTTACTATGCTAATAAAATCTACAATAAAGACGCTTCTTTAAAAATTGAGGGTGCAACTGGGAAGCCAGCCAATAATAAAGGGGAATGTCTTTAAATTTTATTTTGCATAAAACAAATAAGACTTTATGTTCTGATCATTTTGCTTTGGATATATATTTTTTTCCTGTCAAGACTACTGTGGCATTCAGATCATGGTCATTATAACAGACAGATCTCATTGCTTCTCTCCCATCGTGGGAAGACATTTCTTTGTTCAGTCAATCTTAGTGACATCCTATAAAAGCACTAGCTACTACAACAAGAATTTCAAGCCATCCAATACTGAGCAATTTCCAGACAATTGGCCGTCACCTTGGCCTAGTAGTTACACAGATGGATGTTCATTCTAGATTAGTGGTTCTCAACCTGTGGGCCCCCAGTTGTTTTGGCCTTCAACTCCCAGAAATCCTAATAGCTGGTAAACTGGATGGGATTTCTGGGAGCCACAGATTGAGAACCACTGTTCTAGAGCCATGTGAATATAACTAAAGAAAGAGACGTGGGAAAACACGATTATCTAGTGACTAGTCTTATGTCATAGCCGATCTTTACTCTGTTCAATTTAACCACTATTTATCCAATATAATTTTTAGCTGTAATGTGTTTTAATCTTTTGCAAGCTCCCTTAAGCCCCATGTTGGGATTAAAACAGGATATAAATTAAATAAGCAACTGAAGCAAGGTGGATTTTAAATACTCATATGTACAGCCAATCCCCTCCCACCTGGCCCACCAAGGCATTTAAGTTACTATATCTATAATTACTGAAACAGTACTTCATCGTATCAAGGAATATATGATGAAGAACGTTTGAGCATTTTCTCATGTTCATTCCTATCTGTATAATCAACATACTTTCCTTTTCGATTCACCCAACATGGAATGCCAGTTCGGATTTCAGTACAGGATTTCATTAAAGAAGACAATATTCTCAGCAAGTATTAAAGCCTGTACAGCTAAGATGAAAACAACAGCAAAGCAGGAAGGGGGAGGGGGGAATTTGGTGGTATTACTTCTTTCTATTTCTCAATGAACATTTTCACTAACATTATGCCATACACATATACTCTAAAAAGAGGTGGCTCTCCAGAAATCAGCACACCATAAATTCCCAGAAGTCTCAATTTCCAAGCAGCATATATAATACTAAAAAGCTTTATGTAGAATCAAAGAAGTGGGCAGAAATGAGACTTTTCCAAATGTCTGGCCTACAGAGTGCTTTATCTCAAGAGAAGCTAATACAGTGAACTTACACTTTTATAAATCACACAAATCAAGTAAATTAGCAAATCATTGCTATTATTTTACAACATACAAGAAAAATAGAAAATCCTATTTTTTAGATCAAACTCTAGAAGCAGAGCTTTTCATATATGAATGGACAAGGGAAAAGGAAAGAGAAATGGCTTGAGGTGTTTCGTTGTTCTTTTTTTTAAAACGTGGGGGGGATCATATATTCAATTCAGGCCTTCAATTTGTCATCATGGCTAAAAGATGATATACAAATAACACCAGAGCTGTCAAAATAACTCAGTGTTCTTTTATATAGGAAAAAGCTGAGTTAGCTGCCTTCAAGCTTACAACAGCCAGTCTGTGGGCAAGGAAGAGGAACTGCAAAAGCACAGCTTTTGCCCTGAACACACGTCCACTTAAAAATCTATCCTGTACTTGTTCTTTTTTTTAACCTCTGCCACCTCTCAGGATGACTATTTAGCTGGAAATTTTACATCAAAACATAATGACATACAGCAGAAGACCTCTCTGGTCCCAAAGCAATTTGAATCACAACCAAAAGCTGCTCAGAATGAATGCATGTGAGCAACCTAGCAAATACAAACTAAAAGGAATGTAATGGAAGTCATCTATGGGAAAAATCTTTGTAGACAATTCTAGCTTCCCAATCACTTAGTTTTTTTCTTTCATTTCCTTTTTTTAAAAAAAAACATCTGGACTTTATTAGGGATTCATAGCTGCACCCAGTTCTCCTGTAAATGATAACAGGGCCCAAAATGCATGAGCATGTGTGCCTTTACTGGAGGCGTCCAAACAACACCTATGGTAAAATCAAATTGAGACAAAGCAGGAAAACCCTGCTTTGTCCCAAATTAATTTGATATCTGGTAAGATCCAGGTCTTTCCAGGTATGGGTCCAGTGTGGATTAGGCCCAGGGACCATGTCATGTAATCCCTGGGCCCAAATCACATGGCCCTCTTGGGTTTTTCGTGCTCTATGAGCCCAGAAAACTCAAAGGACACCTACCCTCTCCCCCCTTTCCCTGACCTTAAAATAGAAAATAACTTACCCAGCCACCATTAAGGTCCTGCTGGAGTCCTTCTAGAACAGTGGTTCCCAACCTGTGGGTCCCCAGATGTTTTGGCCTTCAATTCCCAGAAATCCTAACAGCTGGTAAACTGGCTGGGATTTCTGGGACTTGTAGGCCAAAACACCTGGGGACCCACAGGTTGAGAACCACTATTTTAGAATGTAGAAATCAAATGCCGGGGGGGGGGGGCAGGATGTAATCTCTCTCAACTCTGCCCACTAGGATTCTCTGTGCTGCAGCAGGTGAGGCTAGAGGGACAGGGAGGTGGCGTTGACGTAGTCTATTGTGATTCCATCCCCCTGACCTCCTGCAGGGGTGGGAGACTGATTAAGATGATCTGCCCCAGGAGGCTTATGGATCCAGATGGATTGATGGTCCTTGGGGTTTTTACCTGTCACCTTGGCAGGCGATTCTGTTGAAGCTCTGGCTGACCTCTGGAATGGGGAAATGGTGAAGGTGGTGCTCCTGAATGTCCCTGCTCACAGAGCAGAGCCAAACTAGCCCCTTGGTATTCCAAGGAGTTGGCAGCAATGAAACAAGTGAGACAGAGACTAGAGTGACATTGGTGGAGAACTCGAAGCAAATCTGACAGAGCACGGGCTAGATTGTACTTTAAAACCCATGATCTAGCCCGTGCCGAACAGTCAGAGATATCCTCT